CATTCGATGTCTAGAGAGGGAACTGATTCGGGTAAATGTATGGCAAAATAAATAAAAATAAAACACTTCGATTTTTTACTTTAATTTCATTGCCTATTAATTTTAATCCTAGGGTAAATATTCGGGGATTTTAAAGTAATGTATCGGGTAAAACCGGGTATTTTTTAAATTTGCCCCGGGGACTTCTGAAAATCTTATTGGCAGCACTGGTATTAAGCTGTGGCGTGGCGTTACTAGTACTATATTTTCTATGGTTACAAAGCAATCTCAGTTTTCTTAAAGTAAACCGCAAAAATTATCTCGTTCAATCCAAGTGCTTACAATTCTTATTTTACGGTTTCTCTCACACTTAATACAAAATTTAGAATATAAGTACGATAAGGGTAAGGGTTAGTTCCTTTTTATGGTTATGTTGGTAATTGGACATTATTAAAATAGTATTGTACTGTCAAATTGCAATGGATGTGCGAAGGTCGATCGTGGATTCGTGTAGTGATATTTTAGAAAAATCTTGCTTGTTAATAACTTCTAATCAAAAATATAAAAAGCTCAAACATCGTGTTTGATATTGAAGAATAATATTTGGTTTGTTTTTTATTATATACGTCGCTTGTAACAGTTTAGTTAATCGTTCTAAAGTGTCATCTGGTGGAATTTCTTTCATTTGCACATCTAGCATCTAGCACACGTGAAATTCGAGGTTGAGGTCGTTTGGTACTAAATTAGTTCATATATTCAACAATATGGAATCTTGGGGTAATGACAAAATATATATTTTAAGAAACACTACAGGAAATTATTTTTTTAGATGACGATAATTTTGAGCCGCCAGCGCCTGCAACTGTTCCAGTTCATGCAAATAAATGGGAAGGTGAGGATGAGGAAGAAGATGTTAAGGTATGTTGCACAAATTAATATCTAATCTGAAAACTATTATCTTCGATTAGTAATTTACTTATGGAATAAAAATAAAATGGAAATGCATGTCTAAATTTTTATTTGTAAGGTACTTGTTCATGTATACTTACATTCTTTGCTCTCTGTAAAACAGATGGTATTAATTTAGATTTAGTAGTGTAGTTTATCTTAGTAATAGCGATTTACTAAAAATAATATGAACAGTGAATATGTAAAATAACAAAAATGTGCATGTTGAGAATAGGGTGCAATAGAAAATGTCATTTCGATGGTATGTCATTATTTTTTATAAACAGTGGACTAACCCATTTTGCTTGTTGCATAAAACATTATATAAGAGTCCAAAGAGAATAAAACTTTCCTTAATAATTCATTCATTTAGTTACTATTACTATTAGCCATTAATTGCTATAAAATTAACAGAATATGGAATTACATCCAAAGTTTTATTGTTTACGTTTCAAAATGACATTAGTAAATAAAGGATTTGTTGCCAGTTTCCACTTTTTCAATGATAATACTCAGACAGTTACCCTAAAATTTTTGCAAAGAAATGGGACAGGCAAGTATTCTAAGTATGTCATAAAATCTGTAAAATGGACATTGATTTTTTCCCATAAAGCTAAAACGAGTTGCTAGTGGTTATGGTAGTTATATTTATAAAATGTGGTCAGAATTATTTCAATAGACAATTTAATTTAATCATGTACATAAAATGTAAAATGTGTAATTTCTGCATTTATATGTGGTATGTGAACATATCCTTAAATTATGTACAAATATTTTGTTTGAAATTTGAACAAGGAACAAGTGTTACCTGTGTTGCACTATAAAATGAATAATGTCAAGACGTTTAGGCTACAGCAGCTCTAGAAATATGGTAATTATAAGAAAAAATTATATGTGCCTTGATTTTGTCAATCTTGTTCCTTAGTGATATCACATACGCGTAGACACACCATACTACTGCCACGTGATATGGCCAGTAATTTTGTTTGGCACAGGAATTTTATTTCCTTCATGGTGGCAATTAAATTTCAGTAAAACTAAAACAACAAGATTGCATTGAAACACAACATTCTGTTTCACTGGCTGTGATTGATGTAATTTATCACGAGATTCTATCCAATTAGCAATCACAATATCTCGAGCATAGATGTAATGGTTTGTCACTGTTCACTGTAAACGAATCATTAATATTAGTGACAAGATTAAGGGATTTTTTTGTTACCAATATCAGTCGTGCAATGTTGGTTGTCTAAACTAGGCGGTCACATGTAAACATTTATGAAGACTGTATGTTCACATCACACTATACTCTGCGGTCGAAATTATAGAGAGTGACTCATCGCTAGCTTTTGGACTAGTAAGGGGGATGAAGCGTGCCGGGAACAAAAATCCATTGGCGTGTCAGCGTAAAAGGCAACAAGATATAGAAAATATTGAAAAAAGGATAATAAAACATAACATCCAATATTTTTTACGGTTTGCTATAACCGGCACTTTGATCCATTTTTAATTATTACAACATTTTAAAACGTCTCAGTTGTGGTTTTTAATTTATAAATTTATTATAGCCACAAAATTAGACCCCTCGTTTACACTTATGCTATGACGTTTCTCAGGACGGGTAAATCAAGTCCGTTTACACTCACTAAAAAAGCATTTCCCTATTCCCTACCAAGTGCAAAAGACAGATAGAATATAGATCAACGTTCAATGTAACTCAGTCTATAGACGATTAAGTATAGATTCTATCGATGTGTGTAGCGAGCGGCACAAAGATAAATAATATTGAATTAAAGGTTTGTTTCAATATAAAAATACATATATCAAGATATCAAGAATATTATTTTTTGTAAGAAATTTGAATGTAGGAAGATAGTTGTAAATATTGTAAAAGTTAATAATATAATTTTTCATTTAAATTAAAGAAATAATATATAATAATACAATTTCAGTATCATTAAGAACATCTGGTAACAATTAAGGAATAAGATATCTATATAAGAAACTTAAACTTATGAAGCTATACTCAGTTTGCATTTTTTTAAAAAATTGATTGAAAAAGTTTGTTATACTCTTAGACTTATATTTAGTGTTTTGCTTTCAATTATCCAACTTTCGGAAAACTGATCATCTTATGGCAAAAAATAGTTTTTTGTTGAAGTAAATTTAGTTAAATGTAACATAGGTTTTTGGCGAAAAAGTTATATTCATATACAATGTGTTCCAGATATAAATGCCCAAATCCTATTCATGTACTTGTTATTAAAAGCAAGAACTAATAATATCTAAGTAACATATGTGAATATTTTAAGTATGTGTAAGTATGTCTATTAAATTTTGTCAAATTTGTTTAATTAAAATAATTTGATGATGACATCAAAATTAGTTTTCATAGCTACAAATTATTTTGATCAAGCTAATTTGATCAACTATTAAAATAATTAATAAACATTTCTAAGAATGCGCTATCCCCAAAAGCTATTGGTTCGTTTTTCGAATAGTATCCTGATTTCTACCCATCTTACATTTAATTGTAAAAGAAAGTGCAATTAATAAAAAGGGTTTGGTTAGTTTGATAGTTTTATCAAACTCTGTGACTACAAAATGACATCTTCGCACAATTTTGATCAAACAAATTTGATTAAATTTGATTGTCCAACAAAGGCGTTATGCGATTATTCATTATCTTAAAATTGTATGCTTATGGAATACTAAATACTAGGACTAATTGGTTACCATTTTGTTTATTATTAATTCAACTAATCATTTTTTTAATTCATTTATGCTGTAGTGGAAAGGAAAATTTAATATAAAAAAAAAATGTCTTAAAACCTCTGTTTTAAAAGATTTTGTCATTATCAAGAAAAAAAATTAACAAAAATTGTTGGTTATGATGAGATAAATGCAATGTTAAAATTTTGGGCCTTATTTTTCTGATACTCTGTAATTTTAAATTATTTTTTAAATCGAAAACTAAACTAAATGGAAGCATATACAGAGCCTTCATAAATGATTACACAAGCCCCGTGACTGCAAAGCTTAGGCAACCAACATTTTGTGGCTGGTACAGTCAACTAAAAACACCGATATTAATGATTCTTTTACAATGAATTATGACAAACCATATTCCATATCACCAGCCAGTGGAACAGAATGTTGTGTTTTAATGTAATCTTGATCTTATTGTTTTAATTTTACTAAAACTTAATTGCCAATACGAAGGAAATGGAATTACTGTACCAAACAAAGTTACCGATCATGTGGCTTGTAATCATTTATGACGGCTCTGTACCATTAGCATAATACAGGGTGTCCCAAAATTCATGCAACAAAATTTGATCATAGATTCTTAAGACAAATTTATTGGACCCGTATTTTTTTTTTGCCAACTGGCCCCCTCTTTTGGAGTTATAACCCCCTGAAATCTGTCCCCAAGAAGTTTTTTTTATATCCCAATACCATGTACAAGAATCACTAAATTTGGTACACAGGGGTTTTATGACATGTGGAATCTCACAGTGCTATGCTTTTTGTCGAGAAATCCCCTTAAGACACTTTTTCGTGGGCTCCCTTGTCTTTGGAACCAGAAAAATTTGGTCGCAAATTTGATTTTTTTTTTAATTATTAGTTAGCTAGATGCCATTGAATTTAGAAACTTTTTTGTCTTGATATTTGTTTCGTAAAATGCAATGTTTTTGAGGAAAATGGCGAACCACGATATGCATTCGACCACATTTTGACATTTTTCTCGAAAACATTGCCTTTTACGAAAAAAGTATAAAGAGACAAAAAGTTTCTAAATTTAATGGCTTTCTAGTGGACTGATAATTTTTAAGAAATTTAAATATGCGACCAAATTTTTTTGGGTCCAAAAACAAGGGAGCCCACGAAAAATTGTCTTAAGGGGGTTCCCCGCCAAAAAACGTTGCACCATCAGATTCCATATGTCATAAAACCCCTGTATACCAAATTTAGTGATTCTCGTACAACAGGGTTCTGAAATATAAAAAAAGATTATTCTTAGGGGTGGACTTCAGGGGGCTGTAACACCGAAAGAGGTGGCCACTTGGCAAAAATAAAAAACACGGGTCCCCTAAATTTGTCCTAAGAATCTGTGACCAAATTTTGTTGCATGAATTTCGGGACACCCTGTATAGTATTAGTATTTAAATATATGTTTGCTGTGATGGTTAAATATTACTTTTGATATAATTGATATTGAAAAATTGATTTTGTATTTTGAATGGTAGTCTAATCAAGCATTTTTTAATTTTAGGAAAGCTGGGAGGATGAAGATGAAGAGAAGAAAGAAGAAATGAAGCAGCAAGATACAGACCTTAAGAAGCCTAGAAAGAAGACATTGCAAGAAAAGATAACTGAAAAAGAGGTAAACAGAAATTTGTTGCGATTTTATTATTTTTTGTTCAAATATGCTAGAAGTTAATTAATTACTGTACATGGGTACTGGTACTTCAGCAATTTTATAAAAAAAATAATTTTTCTAGAGATTGAAACGAGAGGAGATGGAGAAGCGGCTTCGTGAACAGGAAGAAGAAGAAATATCATCAGAAGAAAGGCTTCGAAGACAAAAAGAGTCAGATTTAAAAATAGCCTTAGAAACGACGTTTGGTGGTGATAAAGTTAGTTCAGGAATAGGCGATCTCGATATGCCTAACACTAAAGAAGAATTTGAGAATTTTGCAGATGTTTTATCTAAAAAACTAACACCTCTTTCTAAAAATATAGAATATCCTACATTTATTGAAAACTTAACTAGAAACCTATGTGCCACAAGTAAGCTACATTTTTATTTTACTTTTACATGGGGCATACTCCCATTTAAATAATTTTTAAATGTTTCCTCCCATATTCATAATGCAATAGTAAATATAAATTTATATTAAATTAAACTTTTATGTTTTAGTGTCATCTATAGATATTAAAAGAATAAAAAATTCTTTAGATAATTTATATTTGGAAAAACAAAAAATTGAAAAAGGTGAAAAGACGAAGAAAAATAAGGGCAAAGGCAAGGCAAAACTTAAAATGGAAGGAGATAACGTGAGTAGTATATTCCAATTTCTACGAAAATATGCATTTGCAAGTGATTTAAAATTTTTGTGCTAATTTATAGCTTTGAAATTTTATTCAAATTAATGTTTTCTTTCAGCAACTCTCTCAGTTGTCTGCTTACGTGAATGACTTTGATGACTATGACGATTTTATGTAGCAGAAAATGCTGTTAGATAGGTTTTAATATTTAATTTTTATCTAAGTTATCTCAAGTTGTTACACGAATTGCTCTAATTTACAAAAATAAGATGTACTGTACTTTATGCAATATATTTTTTTTATATATAACTTTTGAATAGGTTTTTTTTTTATAATGTACTAATAGACATTTTAGTATACTACAGTTTTGTTGTCAACTTATGGTTTGCAGTGTATTATTTTTACAAAGCAATTTCTATTTATGATATGTTTATTATCAGATGGATTTGAAACATTGTTAATATAATAAAAAAAATAGTATCCAATACTGTTTTCATTTTCTGGATTTGAATAGAGCATTTAGCATGAATTATGAGGTGATGAGTATTTTTAATAAGTTTGAAACTTGTATCTGAAAACGTAAAAGACTTGCGTTACGTTCACATAAAAAAATTTAATTCTAAAATTAATTAAACTTATAAACTATTATAATTCGGTACCCTGAAAATGTGAAATATATTCCTAAAAATCGTCAAAAGGCCTTAGAGAATCTCGACAATTGAAATGCTTATTAGAGGGTAACATCATTGTAAAATGCTAAAATAAAGCGTCTTTTTGTAATTTTTTTTAACGGGAGGAAAAGTATGAAGTTATTCAAGAATGTTTTTAATCATATTTTTAAGTGTGCAAAAATATACATATGTTTATTCATAAATAGTAAAAATGGCGCCGCTGAAGCCATATTCGCGAGGCATGTTGAATTTGTGGTGATCTGCGGCAGGCAAATTTGAATATGGAAAAAAAACCAAAAAAATTTTCTCTTAATTTGCATGAGTATTGTTTACAAAATTTTAATTTTGATATAAGGGCTTCGGAACTTTTGCATTCAACGCAGAACTGACATACAGATCCAGGGTGTGGGGAGATTTTTTCAATTATTTTTTTGATTTAACGCACCGTTTTCGAGTTATACGGCCTTTTTACTATATCACGTCACACACCTCTTGTTACCAAAATTTATTTTCGACATACGGACTTCGGACCTTCTGTATTCAACGCAGAAGGAACATACAGAACCCGAGGGGTGGGGAGATTTTTCAATTATTTTTTCGATTCAACACACCGTTTCCGAGTTATAAACACTTTTTTATCCTACACACCGTTGGTCCTGATATTTTTTTTTGACATGCTGGTTTTGACGTTTTTCACTCGATCACCAATAGGAACCATGGGAGATTTTTTGATACTTAGAGTCCAAGCAAATACTGTTTTTTTTTTCTTTCATATATTCTGACACCCCGCTCTGCGTCATCCACTGAGTGCTGTACTCAGAACTAGGCATGGGTAACACTGTAAATTTTCGTGTATTGGCACAACAATACCGACACGGCTTGCTGTATCAACACAACGTGTCAGCACAATTGTGTCATGATACAGTAAACTGGATCGGATAGATGCAGATGTGTGGCACTGTCTGCGTGTCTGCGCCGCGTTCAATCTCGTTATGACACGCCGGTTCCTTTACAAGTTCACAATATAATTTTAATTAGTCCAATTTTTGTAATTTATTTTTGATTATTTTGTTTTATTTACGAAACCATAGCTATCAGTATTTTTTTAATGTTTCAGTTTTAGTTTTATGTTTTTTTAATTTTGCGGTATGTTTTTTTTATCAAAGATATTTATTTTTACTCGTGTTTTATGTAAATATATAGATATTTTAAACGACTTGAGTTTTAATAATTAAAATACCTAGGTATATTTTGAGTATTAAATTGTTTTACTCACAAGTGTTATATACGTAATAAATAAGTTTTGGAAAAAA